GTGTGTGTGTTCTCTTCAGGCGCTAGTGCCCGTGTGTGTGTTCTCTTCAGGCGCTAGTGCCCGTGTGTGTGTTCTCTTCAGGCGCTAGTGCCCGTGTGTGTGTTCTCTCCAGGCGCTAGTGCCCGTGTGTGTGTTCTCTCCAGGCGCTAGTGCCCGTGTGTGTCCTCTCTTCAGGTTCTCACGCAAAGTCCTGATGCTGCTGTGGAGACCTTATGGTATACAAACCACCTTTTCTTTTGTGATACTTTGACCTACTGCCATTATTACATCGAAGGAAAATGTTTATGATGAATTAAAAATCGAAAAATGTAATTTCATTAAAATAATTTTAAAGTCAATGCCTCAATTTTAAAATTTCAAATTTTGCATTTTCAGCACCGACATTATCGGCTAATGGTGGCATAATCGGCTAGGGGTGGCAGCCCTAGTTATGTATCAGATTAATAATAAGCCATCCTAGTTTGCCCCAGAATGATTCTCTTTTTTGGACCCACTATCAGAATGCCTCAGGCTTTCCGGCTCTAGGTCTTCCTCAGTGTGCTTGTGACTTTCCTATGTGACACGTTGAAGTTCCAGGAGCCGTTCAGACTGCTCACTTTGTATTCACTCAGAGGCTGCCTTAGGAAAGAGGAAGCGGGATGATGACATTCCAGCCAAGGAACAGCAGGAAAACAGGATGAACCCTCTCCGATGCCCTGTCAAGTTCTTTGAGTTCTACCTGTCCAAGTGGTAAGTGTGGGTGAAGAAGATGGCATAGTAAGTATAGGGCTGATGTGTAAACACCCCTGAGGAAGGTGCATGTGTGTATATGTGAATTATTTTGATACAAAAATAACATGGTTATCTTTAATGGTTTTTGGGAATCTGCTATTGGGGTATCCCCACCCCATGTGTGGACCTCAGATGCATTTCCATGGTGGGTTACACTACAGATCTTTGAAAACCCTTATTTTTCAAGCTTTGTTTTGGTATCCAGTGTATTATTGTGTTTTTTCTAGGCTTCTATAAGAAAATTAAGGGTGAAATTGTATTTTTGGTCGAATGGATTTAGATAAAAAAAAATTCTCGTTAAGTTTATATATGTATGGGAAGCTAACAAAGTGGTATGGGTTGACAGAGTAAGAAAACGACACTGGAAGCGACACTGGAAACGACACTGGAAGCGACACTGGTAGGGGTCTGGGGGCTGTTAGGTGGCGGTATTGTTGTGGCAGTAAAACTTTCTTGCTCGCTAATTTTATCGTCATTGAGTAGCGTAACGACAAATTACTGGGACACTGTGCATCATTTGCGGGTGTCAGGGAGCTGCTGCCAATTAGCACGAAACTTCAGGGAGCAATGGGACGTCTGCATTGCCTCTCGGTCTCAAATGCGGTCCAAGGAAAAGAACTACTAACGCAGCCTCTAATAAAGTTAGCTAGTGACCCCGCAATGCTAAGTGAAGCAGGCTAATTGGTGCATCTGCATGAAGCTGAATGTCGCGATCACCCAGGAATGTCTGAAAGACTGACCCATCAGTCACGATTGAATGGTTTCTGATCACCGATTTAAACGGAAAGGGTGTTCATTCTCAGGCTTGTTACCATCATAGATTAAACCCTTCCGTGTTTTAGTGGCAGCATGTTGTATTGAAACAACTGAAACGTTCTCCGACACGTTCTCCGGCAGTTCTGGAACTGTGAGGAATCGCAGCGACCTGTTCTACCTGCAGCCTGAGAGATCCTGCATGGCAGAGAGCCCGCTGTGGTACTCCGCCGTCCCCATGGACCACACCACTCTGGAGACCATGCTGCACCGGATCCTGGCCGTCAGGGAGGTCCACAGAGACTACACAAGCAAGGAGCATGCGGTCTGAGCCTTGAGAGATGCTGGACCTCATTGCTGACTGCATCACAACAAACTGTGCTGTTCATAGTTAATGAAATTGCGGGAAGGTCGTAATCCTGAAATATTTCTTGCACGTGAAACTTCTGAAAAGTCCGTAGATCAGCACCTTTCTGTCACACATTTCACTCTGTGCGACTTCTGGATTGTACCAAAATACAGAGAAAGCATTTATTTTAGCGCTTCTCGAAATAGTTTTATGTAGGAGTATAAATGATGCCACTGTGGCATTTAGGCTTCAAGTGCTTCTGTGTTGACAGTCTTTGTTATAGAAGTTTAAAAGGTCTGAATCTTAGTTTTTGAATAACTTGAAAGCATTGTCTGCCAGTTGTAGTTACAATTACTACATCTGTTCATTTTTCTTTCTACTTTATTACATGCTCTGCAGTACTTTTGGATAAAGGCTAAATTTACCATTAAAACTTCAATACTGTATACATGTACCTATTAATAAAGTTAAATTAAAAAAAACCTGTGACTGAGAGATCCTTTTATTTTATTTTTTTTACAGAATGTTTTTGCATGTTGCCTGTTAAGGTTTAATGACTAATCCATGAAGGTGGTGGTTGCTATGGTTTTATGTTTTAGTCTTGGAAGAAATAAAGGGAGAAGATATTGGCATATTTAATGTTATATTCAACAGAAACAAGTGTGATATGAAGTGTTTTGCAATGAAAAGTAGGGCAGTGCATTTGTGTTTTGCACTCACCATGTTTCCACCTTTGTTTAATCCGCTGAATACAGTCCAGTCACTGGCATGTGTTGCCAGCAGTGAAATGCCATTTTCCCATGTGATCAATACTGTGTTGTACTGAAACTGACCCAAAGTGTACCATATATTTTTTTCCACAACTGCATTTGTACTATAAAATATAGATGAATATATGCACTATATTAGCAATCGGAAGAACAACTATATTTTCTGCTGAAGAGAAAAGATTAAAAATGAAAACTGATATTGATGCAATGTTAATGTGGTGATTTATTGTATGAAAGTGGGAATGCAGCATGTTTTAATTGGGACAAATGGCTGCTACTGGACAGCTTGGAAAGAATGAGGCATATTCTACTTCCGTGACCCACTGCAGAGCCCCTGTTTGGTTTGGCTATGGTGTCGTTTTATCTCGTACTTGTCCTGTTGTTGTGTTAACTGTGTCAGAATAGTTAAAGTATGTATATGAATTTGACTAAAGTGCAGCAATAACCAGGAATCCAGCTATGTCACTGAAACTGGCTGTTGTAGATTCACAGAATTTTATTATATATATATAGTCAACACACACACATATATATATATATATATATATATATATATGTGTGTGTGTGTGTATTATATATATGTGTGTGTGTGTGTGTGGTGTAAAATTCATGTTTTAAGCATTGGTTCAAATGTTATACGGGGCTAGGTGGTTTATAAGCTTTGTTTATGGAAGCACATTCTCAGTAGCTTATCTATGAATTATAAATCAGTATGCCAAATTCTAATTATTCTGATATCAGCAACAACTGTGCTCGCTCTTTAACAAGATCTATAAAATAAGACTTAAATGCAACCTGACAAAACCAGTATTAAAAAACCTAGTTTGATATGTAAGATTTCAGATTCAGGGCTCGTTGCAGATTCTTATCGATGGTCACACAACTCGAGGTAAAAGCATTATGCAGGAGCTTCACATGCAGCTGACCGGTTTCAAAGATTTTTAATATACTTAATGATGTGAACAAGGTTAATCAGGTTAAAAGTATTTCTAGTCCCGAGAACCATTTACTCATTTAAGATCAGTTGGAGAAAGTTCAGAATTTTCTTTGGATGAGGAGTAATAGACTTGAGAGATGTTTAATTTCCCTGTATCTACTCTGATGTGTATTTGGTCATGTGCAATATCAGCAGCCGTGCAATATGTATGTATTTAACTTTATTTTACTGTTTATGGTCTTCGTTTAGCTTTCTGAAATATATTTTTCCTCTTCCTTTCCTTTTTTGTGTGGGGGGAGTAGTTTTGCTTCATCATTGTTCATAAACTCTGGCTCACATCCCTCCTGCTTTCTGCTCTGAGGGGTGACTGAGAGAGGCGGGCTGAGAGAGAGGCGGACTGAGAGAGAGGCGGGCCGAGAGAGGCTGACCGAGAGAGGCAGGCCGACATCAGTCACTCGCCACTCGGTCATTCACTGGCACCTCTTTCCCTAGGGAGCAGAAATCTCCTACCAAACACCTAATCACTTTTATTTTTAATAATCATACACCAGTACACATTCCTTTGCCAATATCTCAGGGTACGTACATATTTATGTCCACGTGCAAAGTGCTGAGAGAAAGGTATTTGTACTAAAGAAATCTTTTTTTTTTTTTTTTTTTTAAACATGAAATCCCCATAGATTTGTTCCACTATGAGTGTGAAAATCAAGTGTGAAATGTGAATATCTGAGGGTGTATTTCTGTTTTGGCAAATGCTCCTGAAGTTGTAGTATGATCTTGGTAAAGGTAACTCGTATAAAATCTGTCTGTATGTGTATACCCAAGTAACACATGGATACACACTCACAGTGGGGGACGTTTAGTGAGTTTTCTAAGTTTTCATTAAATTCCCTGGGAACTGCACCAAATTACCACCAAATTAATGTGTGTATGTCTATTTTTAGTTTTGTGTTTCCTTCTTTTTTTCATGCTCTGGAAATGGTGTCTTAGCTTTTTCACATATAATGAATAAAAACGTTTAGTATTAGTATTCTAATCAGTCCAGACATGGAGGGGGGGGGGCTTTAGTTTTTTGTTGACTAAAACTAAAAGCTTTCGTATGTTCCAAAATAAATACCCGCACAACCAAGCTGGCCCACACATTTAGACAGCATCAGATGGAACCAGCCATTACCGAAACCACTTGGGTACAGATTAAATGATAGACCACATGGCTCTTTGACCACCACACTATTCCACCCACGCTGTTAGAAATGGAGGACACGTGTTGTAGCACTACTAATCCAATGGTAGGCCATGTTCAGTCTGAAGACTAGACCACAAATTCTCTGCAGACAGCAAATAATCAAACATCTGCAGCACTCAAAGCTCTACACCAAATGCAGACCATCAGATCTTCAGATCGTCTTGCCTGGTCTTGATGCTATGTTTACTGGTGCGACTAGGCTGACGCTGGTTCTGGGCTGGCGAGTCAGGGGCAGAGCTTGAGGGCTTCTTCACTTTCAGGTCATTCTCCTCTGGTTTACTGTTCCTCTCCATGACCAGATTATCTCGGTTCTGCTTGTAAGCCACCTTGCTGTTGTATGGGTGGTAAGCTGAGTCTGGCTCGGTGAGGGGATTGAGGCTGTACCTTGAGCCAGATTGATAAGGTACTGGAGCAGGATGATGATTGGGGAAGTAATTGTAGCTTGGCCCGTAAGGTATGACAGCTTCACTTGGTGTCTTTGAGTCTGTTTCAGAAGCCAGCTCGGCTCGCTGATAATTTAGACCCTGGCTGCACTTGGTGAAGCCCAAATGGTACATCTCCACCAGATTGAGGAGCAAGGAAATGCACGCCACTGCTAGCATGAAAAGGATGAAGATGGTCTTCTCTGTGGGCCGCGAAATGTAGCAGTTCACCACATTGGGGCAAGGCAGACGGTTGCAAGTATAGAGGGGCTTCAGCTCAAATCCATACAGGAAATACTGAGCTACGATAAAGCCCACCTCAAAGAGGGTCTTGAAGATGATGTTGAAGATGTAAGTGCGGAGTAGGACACCCTGCAAGCGGATACGGCCCTTGTCGTCTCGGATAGGTGGCTTCTTGGCCTTCCCATCCTCTATCAAGGGCTGCTTGTCACCTTGTGGGGCTAGCTGAGTGAGGTCTTTCTCTCGTTGCTTTTGCTTCTCCTCCATGCGCACCAGGTGCAGGATGTGACCTAGGTAGATGAGTGTGGGCGTGGAGACGAAGATGATCTGCAGCACCCAGAAGCGGATGTGTGAGATGGGGAAGGTCTTGTCATAGCACACATTCTGGCAGCCAGGTTGTTTGGTGTCACAGGTGAAGCCCGACTGCTCATCACCCCACACCTTCTCAGCTGCGGTGCCCAGCACCAGGATGCGGAAGATGAACAGCACAGTCAGCCAGACCTTGCCCACCACAGTTGAGTGCTCCTGTGCACTTTCCAGCAACTTCCCAAGTAGACTCCAGTCTCCCATTTTGGCTGTTGTGCAATCTTAGTCCTACACAGAGAAACACAACCCAGCAACGTGTATTTAAGGCCAATAGGATCTGTATCTGTAGCAGTGCTCACACTGCATAGCAACACCAAAGAAATCTGTCTTCAGGCATAAGAAGTGACTCTGTCCGCACCTCCATGATATGCTGATTCTGTCTGTCTGTCTGTCCGCCTGCCATCCTGTCCTGTCCTTTTCTGTCTCTGTCTATCATCTTCGGTCTAATTTTTTAAGGTTTTGTATTTAACTGTACATTGGTATGTCGTACCACATAGACACCATTTTGCCTCCAGATTCACTTGAAAGCTGGATGAGTTCAGAGTGTGTTAAGAAGTGCCTTTCTGTACACCAGTGTTATGCAGAACCTGCTGGTTTTGCACTTGTGGCCTTCCTGTTAGCTTTAATGAGGCTGGCTAATCTACTCTGACATCTGTCATGGACAAGGTGCTTTCAGCCACAAAAATTCCATTGACTGGACATTTCTGGTTAATTACGCCATTCTCTGTAAACTCTAGTGACTGGAGTTTGTGAAAACACGTTAATATGTTTAGAAATAAAAATTGAATAATAATCAAATGAGAAGCTTTGTTAGCTTGTTATTGTTCAACTTGTATTTACGGCAAAGTGTCTCTCCAGTAGGGTTAGGGTCAGGGTTAGGTCACCTACTGACCATGCAAATGACTCCATCTAACAGATAGCCATACATTTAAGGTATATAAAAAAATATATAAAAATCTTTTTTATTTAAATATGAAAAAATCTACTTATTGGAAGAATTTTTGTGGCAGCATATGACCAGAAAGACCCAAAGAGACATATCTAAGGTTCTTAAATGTGATTTTAATGCTATGGTTTGTCAGTCTAAAATGATGAAAGCCATTTGTCTGCCAGTCTTGGTTATTTGTTTATCCAAATATTATTTTTTAAATATACATTTTTATAACTACATCTTATGTAAAGCCTTATGTGTTTTATTCTCATATCTTGTTCCCAAGGAAGTCACGCCCCTAACAGTATCCAGATGGAATCCTTGTGCTTGGAAACCTCTCTCACATGGAGATGTGACTCTCTGTGCACGTATTAGCAGAAAAGCCCTAATGAGTGAAAGAACTAATACCTTTCTACAGTTTATTAAAATTTTTTCCATCAGACAATTTTTGAAAATAAACCTAGCTAAACTGTAACATGTAACGTACAATGCATTGATTCTTCCTCACATTTTAGATTTTTTCCATTTAGAAAATATTCAGATATTGTAGATTTTGGAAATTGATTTAGTCAATGACTAAGTGACATGGGCAGCCGCCTAGAGTGCCATCTTCTGAGGGGGCGCTGAGTTAGCGACCACCAGGGCCTAACCCTAAGCCTAACCACCAGGGCCTAACCCTAAGCCTAACCACCAGGGCCTGACCCTAAGCCTAACCACCAGGGCCTGACCCTAACCCTAAGCCTAACCACCAGGGCCTGACCCTAAGCCTAACCACCGGCACCTAACCCTAACCCCAACCTCCCTGGCTACGGCTGCACATGGGCTCCCACTGCCAGCACTTTGTATAGTTATAATGAGAATCAGTGAAAACTGATGGAATATAAGATGTTTCTGTATGCTTGGCTGAATGCTACAACACTGATATGTCTAACAGCTGGTCACTAACAGTATTAATGTATTTATATTATATGCCTCTGTCTTGCTGGCTGCCCGTACATTCCAGGCAGCCATGGACTGCTTGTCACTACTCACACTTCCAAAAATGTACGCTGCATTTTAGGAGGCTGAGTGTCCCTAAGCTTCATGTCCGTGACCTGGAGCAGGTGACATCTGCCTCTAATGCTGGTAGAAAGAAACCTGAGAATGAGGCTCATGGTCTAACTGGGTACAGCCCTCCACTGAGCTTGTGTACTGGTGCATTCATAAGGTGTTCATACACTAAGCTGTAAACAGTCCTATTCTGGGCATGTTTAGATTTCCTCAGGAAGCCCAGACTGGACACTTTCCAAGGCTGATGAGGACTTGGCATTTATGTTTTGATGTTTGTATCTTCTGACTTTCAGAAATTTATTGCCCACTAACAAAGATTCCTAATGAACGACAACGTGGGGTATCACAGAAAGTGATTCAGTTTTTGATATAACATGATTTTAAAATGTGCTGTAATGCGCTAGTTGCCTCACTATACATTGTTTTGAACAAAAGCACCTGTGAAATAACATAAATGTAAATAAAGTAAATATAATTTGAGTATTTCTTATATAATTGTCAACTGTAGTAAAAGATTACATTTTGTGTAAGTAAATTAGAATTGAGGACTCCTGCATGAATTGACTTGATAATGGTAAGCTGGTGTCTCCTGGGATGTTTTGTCTGACCATTGCTTTGCTCTCTTTGTCTTACACTTTGTAGCTAATATATGTTAAGCTTTGAGTCCTATTCGGCCATTAAACATATTTGCAAGTACATATACTGATGTCTATATAACTTAGGCTTATAAATTAAAAACTGCCACAATCTTTTCCATTTTATCAAATTCATTTTCACTGAATAAAATTTGTCAGCCTTAATTGCTGAGCTTTAAGATTTATCCACAGTATTTTCTAATAAATTTAATTAGCATTAATGAGTACTAGTCACAGCAATTACAAAGAGGTGGCCTGTTCGGGCCAAAATCAACTGATTCTTTGATTACAATAACATTGAAATATCTTTATTGTACTTTCATTTTTTTCCAGTTGTCAGTTCTTCATTTAGTCATATAGGCATTTATATGGTAAAATGCACTTAATTCCTGATGTTTCTTTTTAACATCTTAGCAGTTCTTTTTGGATTTACATTTAGTTTCATTTCACCTGTAATTTTGAAACAACTCAAAGTGCATCATGCCCACTGGAGAAAGTAACATTCTGAAGTTGTTAAGATTACCATGTACAATGAAGAAGACTTAAAGACCCACCTGATCAGTGCATACATCTCCAGCAGAAACACTGTCCCAAGCTGCAGTCTTCCCACATAGGTCACTGATACATGCGACACAGTAGTTGTGCTTCACAAGCTGAGGCCCAGTCCTGGAATGGGAATGACGCTTCCCCGCCAGCACTTCAGGAATTTCACTTTTTACTTGTGCTATTCTGACTTTGTAAAACTCTTCCCATATGGATGTGTCCAACCTGAGAAACAAATACTACCAGCAAGACTATTTAATTTTGCTTCATTCTCCTCCTGGGTTAAATATGGCTAGAGAGGCTCCCAAAGAGAAGCAGCTCACCTACCACTGGCTTCTTATTCCTCCACACATTGTGAATGGCAGCCAGTTCATCCAATGGGGTGCTTCCAGTCAGGCACCAGTTCTAAATATAATTCACTTAAAGGGGGGGGGGCATTTTGCTATCACAAAGGGGATAACTTGGAATTTGGCTGACTGGGAGTTGTAATGCTATTGAAAAGTTTATTTATTTGTTTGTTTGTTTTCCGATGAGATTCAGGTCAAGGCTGCATCTCTCACAACACACAGCTGAGACTCGCTGACCTCGTCACACCACGGCACATACTCCACAGCAACCTGACTCTGTTTAGATTGTAAATATAGCACATTGTTCCAGCCATGGAAAAGCTTTTTAAAACTAGAATGTGTAGTTTAGTATGCTAAATATATATATATATATATTTTTACGTGTGTTCCATATATGAGGAATTACATCATATGGAATTTCAAAGGTATTATGCATTAATAAAAAAATATACTTGACAAACATTTCTAGAAAATACTTTTTAACATATTACAAATCAGTTCAATTTTTTGCATGCTTATTTTTGATCTTTCCCATCAACTATATTTTTACACGTCAGGAACACAAAGGTTAGTAAGTAAAGAAGCACTGAGAAACGATGATTACAATACGGGCTTCAAACAACATACAGAAAAATTTTATATCTTAAATTGTCCACAACTGCCTTTAGGGGGAAATACTTTGCTTGGACACCTTCTAACAGTGTGGTTACTGCTTATACATACTTTAAACAAATGTACTCATTATGGTTTCAGAATATTTTATTTGATATCAGGCCAGTTTAGTCATTCAGCCCATCCACGGTCCCTCTCTGTATGGTCTCTATAAATGGTCACGGCAGGGCTATGTGTCTTTCCGCCCTAAAAAGCTTGCAGGCCCTGATGTCCCAGCCTGAGCCTCAGCGCACAGCAGCTGTCGTGGGCTCCTGTATTTTGGGGATGCAGCCCTTGACACCTTTCAGGACCCTGTCACTGGTGACCTGGCGGCACTGAGGTATTTCTGTAATGACTTTCAGAATGCATCTGGCTTTGGTGTTGGAGACTATGTCATGTATTATATGTATCATGATAAGCTGACTTCCTGTATGTATATGTGTATGTGTAGTACTGTACCTTTTAACGTACAGCTCTGATTATAAGACATGTCCATATATTTGTTTTAGATTTTATTTCTAACATGCTGCATTTTGACAGTGCCGTGATCTGAAATTCAGTTCCACTCTCTCAAAAACATTCTTAATGCACACAAAAAAGTTACACGGCATTTTTCTTATATAAAATAAATCTATTAATGATGATGGAAAATTCACCTTGAGTTGGGGTGGCTTGAGTATTTAGATGGCTGGAATGGATAATTGATACTTCATCAAACTAATATTTTATATAAATTATATATATACATTAAATTTAAATTTAAAATTCATTACTATTACTTACTTGGATAAATTCTTTATTAATGTGATTTTCCCCTTAATTGCATACAGAATTCAAAACAATTTTCTGATATTGTAGAACAACACATACTGTATAGATCTGTTATGGTAACATACATGTGTTCCAAATGCGGAACTCTTGGCTGTAATGTCCGCTAATGCCCTGATGACATGGCCGTTCATGTGGGTTAGGGGTCTGTACCAGTGTCTGCAAGGTCATGGGTTTAATTTCATTAGCAGCCTACTAATTATATCACTGTCGGGCCCTTGAGCGAAGCCCCTTAACCCCCACCTACTCCCGGGATGCTGGTTGGCCCCTCACCCTGACCCCTAAAGCAACCCTCACCTCTGTATACACGAGTCGGCCTCATATGGACATTATGGTATACGGGCACCAGGCCATTTACTCTTGCGTATGAATCAGGTATGATAATTCTATTCTGTATGAACAGTGTGAAATGTTTTCTGTTCTTAATATTAATGTTATTAAAATCATTTTTAAACTTGTGACAGACATGTTTTATAAAAGTGAGTTTAAGCCGCCATCTTGTGGCTGTTGAAAGTATCAGGAAATAATGAAATCATGTGGCCCGTGAGGAGGCAGCGGCTCTGCGCAGCGATCGCCAACCTGTCCGTACAAACGTGAACGCGTCCATGGCAAGACTCGTCTATGTCCGTGACAAAATGTTTTGATTGAGAAAAAAAAACATGGGCTACGTTTAAAATACCATGTCCTTTGCATTTCGATTAAAATATCGATCAGAATTCATCTTGCTGTTAGCCCTGTTAAAGGGTTATGCAATTTGGGGGGGGGGGGGATCCAACCCCCACTGTGTAATATGGAGTTTGCATGTTCTATCTGGGTAATGTGGAGTTTGCATGATATATCTGTGTAATGTGGAGTTTGCATGATATATCTGTGTAATGTGGAGTTTGCATGATATATCTGTGTAATGTGGAGTTTGCATGTTTTATCTGTGTAATGTGGAGTTTGCATGTTCTATCTGTGTAATGTGGAGTTTGCATGATGTATCTCTGTAATGTGGAGTTTGCTTGATATATCTGTGTAATGTGGAGTTTGCATGATATATCTATGTAATGTGGAGTTTGCATGATATATCTGTGTAATGTGGAGTTTGCATGTTCTATATGTGTATTGTGGATTTCCCCCCCAATCCAAACCTCTTCCATGCTAACTAGCATCTCGAAATCTGCGTATGGGCCGTGCAATTTTGTGGCCTCCCTGTCAGGGTGCTACCCCTGTCACGGAAGAACAGAACATTTTAACAGCAGTGAAAGAGTTGTTGTTGTTTTCATAGCAAGCAAATACACATCTCTTGTTATTGATGAGCAAGCAACAACTAAATAAAATATTTGGTTCAATTATCTGGTTCAATATCATAAAAAAAGTAATTGAATTGAACTTAAAAATGACATGGCATATGCGAAAGTATGCTCTGACAGTGTATTTGTTCCCGACCATACCAGTACAGTTCACAAAGATTTTTTGGTAAACCACACTTTAGCCATTGTAAAGGTAACTTATATCCAAAAATCCAGAGTAACTTATATAAACCCCTTCAAATGTTATCACTATAATATAATATTGCTTGTTTATCAATTGGTCATCTGACTGCAGTCAAAATATATAAAACATACGTTTGTTGATTTTTGGTCAAAAATGCTTTAAATATATAATATTTAACTCAATATAGAACTCTGAAGTGACACAAACATAATAATAATAATAGTCCTGAAATCTGTTGAATAAAAGGTATGATTTTTCTGTCAGCTATTTTCCTGCTATTTTGGGGTATATGAGCTATAGATTACATGGTGAAGACAAACGTATAATAGATATCTTTACGTTTCTGTGCCATAATATGTATTTCTCCAAACGTTCTGCACCGTAGCAAGTTATATATTACTGAAAATATAGTTCATATAGTAATGCAGTTTAACTCTCCCCTCCCCTTTCATATAAATATTTCATCCTAAACATTGCAAAGACATTATTTGAAATATATTTGAGATCAAAGTCACAGACATAATTGGTAATCTCAACTATCAAGACCATCAGTGTAAAAGAATCAGTACATATTGCAGTTGCACCATTTCATGTTTTAAAATATTGGACAAATACACACAAACCATTATTTTTAGCTGCATGTTAGAAACTGACAAATGAACATTATAATAGATATATTAACCTCTGAAGTACCTTCTGCTTTTTATTTGGAATTTTCCACTATTAGGATAAAAGTGTGTGTGTATATATGTAAATATATGTTAAAGCTTGAGATGATGTATTCAAGCAATGAATTAGCTAACGATGGGAATGAGTTGGAAGCGTGAAATGTTTAATGTGGGAGAGAAGATGCCTGATAAGTGTGTAGAATATTTTGCGTTCAAAACTTGGTTAACTGTCCAAAACTTTTACTTTTAAGTCTGGCATTAATGCCACTGACTCCACCACTTTTGCTGTTAGTCACCATTGTGTTTGTTTGTTTCTCCTCTAATTAACAGATTTAATGTCCAGTCATGCCACACAAACTATTACAGTGAATGAGTTGTTCATTTTGTTCACCATTTATGTACTTCTGTAGCTTCTTCCAAAATTATTATCAAGTGCCATTTAATTCAATATTCCCCACGATGTCCAGGGGAAAATGTCCTTAGCACTGCTGCCTGTTTCCTTTGAAGGAAATGGCTATTGTAAGTCTTAAAATACTTGCGCATCTATTAATGCTCTACTACATAAATTATCATCCACAGTTTGTTGTAAAAAATCCATGGTAATGCAAATTTTCACCATGCTCCAGTGAGGCAAAAATAATGAATAAGATTGATATTATCTATATTTTCAGTTTTGACTAATGAAAAATGGAAGTTAAACTTGGTTAGTCAGATGGACTAATTGTCTAATATGAGAAAAGCTTTTGCATGAACAAAGCTCCGATGGGTGAATCCTGAGCATCGCGAAAATGCCGACTGCAGGCTCTCCCTACCAAGAATATTCCCTCTGCGATGTTGAGCAGGATGCACACCCCTGACACGGCAAGCATGAAGACTGTGAAGATAGTCTTCTCTGTAGGTCGGGACACGAAGCAGTCCACCGTGTTAGGACAGGGGTAGGAGTCGCACTTGACCAGTCGGAACATCTTATAGCCTGGGTAGATCATGTAGAATATGTACATGAAAGCGGCTTCGAAGAACACACGAAAGAACAAGCTAATCATGTATGTCCACCAGAGGGCCCCGGTGATCTTGAACTTCTGGTTCTTGATCTGTTCCAGATCTTTGGGACTTCCCCGTCCAGAGATCTTAAGCATCTTCTTGTCGATGTGACGGCGGTGGGCCACATGCATGGCCACCAGAAGGGCGGGGGTCGACACCAGGATGAGCTGCAGGGCCCACAGCCGGATGTGGGAGATGGGGAAGAAGTGGTCATAGCAGACGCTGTTGCAGCCCGGCTGCTCAGTGTTGCAGGTGAAGCCGGACTTCTCATCTCCCCAGGCGCTCTCTGCCGCCACGACCAGCACCAAGAGGCGGAAGAGGAAGAGGACGGAGAGCCAAATGCGGCCAATACCTGTGGAGTGCCTATTTACACCGCTTATAACGGCATAAAAGGACGCCCAATTCATTTTCGGTTCCAGGTCTGGAGAAAAAACATTTTGAACAAAACAACGTTTTAGCGACTAAGCGTAAAACGTGAAACATGAAGATCACTGCGAAGCAAGACTGCATTAAACCAACACAGTTAACGCTAAAGAATGTTAAATATTCCGCTACTCAAAGATAACACAGCCCGATTAGCCATTCTGCTGCTATCACTGCCGTTCCGAGGTGAGGTGAGCGGAGCTGAAGGTGGGTTACCAGGCTCTGCTGGAGGTGTGAGAGGCATAGGCGGCACCAGGCTGAAGAACCACGTTGACCCACCAGCGTTGCATGGACATTAAGCTCGATCCAACAGAGAATGCAAGCCTTCTGACACATGGCCGAGAGGCTACTTAAAAAGGCGAGGCGCTGGCACAGCGAACAGGGAGGATAACGTGACCTGCTTTGGCATAGCCAATGACAGGAGTGTACCCGAACAACGTGGCCAGGACGCGGGGGTGGGGGGTAGGGAGTAGATGGCCAAAATCCCCAAGCTTCCTGCAGTGCATCTGAAATGATCTTATTGGCCTAGCCCTAGCTGCAACCCAGTTATCGCTCAACATCAACATCCTACAGAAATCTTTCACAGAATTAACTAAGGAACAATATGGATCCATATTCCATACTTATATTTTTACTGAGATATGCAGACCTATGATTAGACAATTGCAATTTTTTTGTAATTTTTACAAAAGATATTTTTCGTCCAAGACTGATCCAACAAAATATGATACTATGATGGTTACCAAGTGATTGAAATGAATAAGTCAGCTCAGCATAATTTTTTTTAATAAATTACTGTTTTTCACCAGAATTTTACTACAAACTCCAATTATTGTGTTAAAACAGGGCAGGAGAAATTTAGATAAATGTAACTGATTGCTTCTTAAATAAACGTAACTGAATGTTTTGCAAACGAGTCATTGTTTGCAACACTGTTGTGGCAAGTCCTAACAAGATTATTGAAGATAATTACAAAACAAAAAAGTATAAGTCACTGATTTCAGATATCGGATAAGTCAACAGGAACCCAAGTGTTCAGTAAAAAAAAAAGTAATTTACCTTCTGTTGAAGTGGTGCCCCAACACGTCGAGAAAAGGGTGGATTACAATCAGTATAGTAAGCTTTTTTACTCAATGGCTTGGTTTACTAGAACACCATGCCTTTGAAAATTGCAAATGAATTCCCTGACACTAGCCACTGCCCTGCACTGTAGCAGTCATATGCTCTTATATAACTATTTACATACAATGACGGCCTTCTCTTGGCCTAACAAGACTCTTTAGAATTCAAATCAAACGCTACGATTTCCGCCTACCCTCTGCCAAAGAAAGAATCTGTGTGGACACATAAAAGCCGTCCTCTATTATGCATTGTGCTGGACATGACAGGGGAAGTAAATGTTGCTTTTGACGTAAGCTGGAGCAGAAAAACAGAAAAGGTCCAAGTGTTCTCAACATTGTAACGAAATGTTATCTAAGTAATATCACCACTTATCAAAAATTCTTTTCCTAACCACTAGATAATATGCTCTTTTGACAATTAAATGGAATGTTTGAAAGAAAAAAGAAAGCTTAAACAAAAAATTATTCAGTTTAGTAACTTCAATATCTTTTGGTAACATGATGAAGATCATAGGCAGCACTTTGTACAGTGTTTAGTATATTTTGCATTATATATTAGCTCTTATATATTAGTTATGCTCTAAAACATTCCATCCAACCATCTTCTAAGCATTTATCTTGGTCATGGGATTCTAAGATGATATTCTTAATTTATTAAATTTCTATTTATGTTCAAATTAATTAACAAATTTGTCATATTGTCATTACTTATTTTACAATAATGATTATACAAGTTACACACAAGGAGTGCAACTAGTGTACAGAATTAATTAACATGTCACCTGTAAACTAGACAAGCAAGATCAACAGTTTACCAGTTACACAGTCAACTCTGTATAGTACAGAACTGTACAGGACAGTTCCATACTGTGGAATTGGGAAGCTAATATATGTGAGTGTTTTAAAACTTGAATGCAAGAGTCATAGATTTCAGCTAGAGGTATGCAGAATCTGCTGTTTCTGTCTTACAGGGGCAGATGACTGATCTGAGTTAGGCTACATAGTTTGAAAGGCATCTTTCGCCAAGCTGTCTCCATTCTGAATACATAACTGTGTTCACTGTGGGGCTGCGTGATGCATGTGGCAGTTTTCTGAATGTGTCACACACAATCTCAGTCAACTATTCCAGTCGTCACTTTGGTGCAGCCCCCAGTGACCTCAAACTCTTGTCTGCAGTCCATGTACTGCCCATAGCTGGCGTGCCTCATTTGCAAGCATTTAGCATAAAATTATGCAAATTAAAGTGTGTTGCTGAATTTTCATAAATTTGACCTCTATTTTAGAACCAAACCAGGGTTTTATGACTGAAATTATTTACAGTGAAAACATCAATGACTTTATGTTCATGTCAAAAATAAAATGTTGCCCTTCCATTGCCCAGAGGAAGTGCATCTATGAAAGGCAAAATGATATTGTATCTGTGAGTGAAGACAAAAAAGAAAATTCTCAAATTTGGTAAGTTTTGATTGGAATACAGCAGGCACACATGTCTCAGGGAGCGGTGGACAGTGATGCTGAATAATGCCTTGACCTGGGGGGTTTAATCGCCCCCGCTCTGCATCTTTAGACTTCATGTGTAGAGGTTTCCTCCTGCATTCCAAATATATAAACTTAGGAGAATCCATATCTCTAACATATGTAAATATCTTGATACCTTTTAATTGCATTATGACTGATCTCAATTTTCCTTCAGGATTCCTATATTAGACACTCATCCAATAGAGCTGACTTTCAGATTGCTGTATGTTCATGTACAAAAAGAAGACTGGAAAAAGAAATCATTCTGAGGTTTAAATGACATTCTTTAATGACATACCAATTTAACATAATGAAGAGGGATCATAGACTTTGAGAATGACCTTCAGTATTTGTACTTCGTTACTGTACTTAAAAATTATTTAGGCAACTTTGTACTTCCCTGAGTATTTTCAATATTAACAAGTTTCACCTTCAAAACTGAAAGATCAAAACTGAAGCAGTGCTGCATAGTGAAGAAGAAAAAAAAAAGCAAGAAGTAAAGTATCTGCAGACTCTGTCTCTTAGGTGCAATATTTCAAAAAATTATATTTTGTATCTTTTTCAAACTTCACAATTAATTTGTATAAGACAAAGTCTGAAACTGACTGAAGTAGTGCTGCTTTGTGGGGAGAGTGTGTAGGGGCTACAAATTAAAGAGGGAGGAGTAGAGATTAGTCAGGGGAGAGATGACTGGGCTGTATGAGGAATATAATGCTGTTGTTCCAGCAGCATCTAGTTTTTCTTCTGACACTGAAGGCTATTTACCTAACTGCCACCTCCGTCCTAAACCAGAACACGGAGTCCTGCCATCTGCAGACGTTCTCAGATGGTTGTATGAGGGATGGAGACATGATGGAGTACAGGAGTACTGTGGACATCTTTGTCGAGGGGTGCAACCTGAAACACGTGCAGCTCAGCATTTCTGATACAATGGAGCTGGTGGTGGCAATCGTGGTCTCTGGTACCCCCCCCCCCCCCCTGTCCATTCAGGAAAAGAGGTGGAGATTGTCCAGAACTGCAAATATCTGAGTGCCCACCTAGATGGTAAGCTGGACTGGTCTAAGACCTGCACTGCCCCCTACAGGAAGGACCAGAGCAGGCTAGACTTCCAGGGGAGGGTTAGCTTTTTCAGAGTCGGCAGAACCGTGTTGCGGATGTTGTACGAGTCTGCGGCAGCCAGGGCCCCCTTCTGCGCAGTCGTGTGCTGGGCGGCAGTGCTGGGGAGGTGGATGTTCTACGAGTCTGTGGCAGCCAGGGCCTCTTTCTGCACCATTTGCAGTGTGGGCATGTCGAAAGGTCAGCGTATTGAAAGTCCAAGTTCAGTCCAAGTCTTTCCATCAGTTTTGCCGAGTCGAGTCACAAGTCATCAAATTTGTAACTTGAGTCACTGTCTCGTGACTCGAGTTTCCACCTCTGCCACAATCCATTCATAATGCATAGTTTCACAGATATATTGTTGCATTTTTTTCTGGTTTATGTGAAATAATTAAGAATAATATTAAGCTAGTCTGCACACCTCCATGGTGAATTGGTGTAGTTTTGACTCTTGGTTGGGGGATGAGTGATGTATTCATGCTTGATTGCCAAATTAACATAAATGGATAAGAAAAAGTCTAAGCCATAAGGTGTCCAGTTTATAAAGAGTGAAAAGAAAAGGATAAACGTGAAAAAGATAAAGCTATGCAACTACCATTAGTGTAATAATCAGATTATCGTAATGAGTGTGTATTTGTGTGATATCAGATTTGTGCACTTCAGTTTCATTTGTTTTTTGTTTGTTAGTTTTCTTTTATATTTATATACTAAAATTTCATTCTATTTGTCTTCTTTATAACACATGAATCTGATATATTTTTATATTTATAGTATAGTTTTAACTTTTACTAATATTTATATCCATCTAATAAAAATCAGTGCCGAATAGTGCCTGTTTTGTTGCCATGGGGTTTGGGATAAACGCACGTGGGGGGGTGAAGGCGCTGGTTCGCCCAGGGAGCCATACAAGCTGGACAACTCACAGCGAATAATAATTAATGACTACTTAGTTATTGTTACAGAGCCTTAGATTATAATTGAATGCAATTTGACGCCACCCAGTGGCAATTGACAACAGCTCAGGAAAGACATTAGGGACCACAGCAAAAATTTTTGTTTCAATCATTTCTCATTTTATGTGTTTGCACCTGGGCAAAATGTAAATTTTTTTTTTCAAACTCCAGCCTGGCTCTTCTCTGCTGCCCATTGATTTATGATTGATTTCTTCCTTGCTTTATGGGTCTTCAGTCCTACTTCTAGGAGCTTCATACAAACTGTCCTAGCAGTGCACTTCACACCTGCACTTAATGTCTCCCATTCTTTTTGAAGGTCACTTGATGTCATCCTCCAATTTATGAGGCACTGTTGGATAAGTTGACGATCATCTCTGGCATTAGAAAGTCGCTTCTGCCCTCTACCTGGCTGGTTTCTAGTTGTTCCCAGTGTCATTTCACATTGTACTGCTTTCTTAGAAATTTTGAGTCTGGAAACAACCTGCCATTCAGTGTACCCTTCTTCCAGCAGAACCAGGATTAAACCAGGATTTGACAATGCAGATTCTTAAAAAAATATGGACCAGTCTCTTAATCTTAATCTTTTTTTCCAGAGCTGGCTAAGCTGGGGAGGTTATATTAATATGTTATGCAATATTTTGCAATATGCAATATTTTGCTTATGTAACATTTATATACATTATTTTTCTTTTTACTTACAGTGAGCATCCATGAAGACATGATGTTCAAGCTGATGGTGTTAAGTTTTCTTGTTGATCTTTTTAGCACTGAAACATTAACCAAAAAGGATCCATCCACCATGCTGTCAGAGAGCATCATGAATTTGAGCCTTAAGCTGTATCACAACATGGAGAATGATGCATCATTGAAATCTGAAAATATTTTTATCTCACCTGTGGTGTTGACTTCCTCTTTGGGGGTCATAACACTAGGTGCCAGACAAAATACAGCCAATCAGGTTAAGTCACTCCTAAACGTGCCTTTGGTGGAGGACAGTATCCACATCCTGCTCTCAAAACTGCTCACAGATGCGAGTGATGAAGCCATAAGTGACATCGACTGGAAAGTCAGTAGTCGCTCCTACGGGCCTGCTTGGATCAACCTGAGCCCAGACTTTGTTGAGAAGAGCGAAGTGCACTACAGACATAACTCAAGTAAAGTCAATTTCAGAGATAAGTGGCATCATGAAAATCAACAAATGGGCTCACCAAAGCACAGATAACAAACTGTCTGAGATAAAGATTTGCCTGTTATCGATGGAGCTCTGTTTATTAATGCTATGCTTTTAAAACGTAAGTGAAATTAAACTTTTGGTTTGACTGTTTTCCAGTTCCAAGCATGACGATGTATCCTCGTAATCGTTTGTGGCTCAGTGATTTAGGATGCTATTCCTGTGTTCGATAGGTGGTTGGTTCAGGTCTGTCATCATTTGAACACGGTCCTCGACCCCAAGTGCACCAGGGACTGGCTGGGCCTGTCTTCTCAATTCTGTCGCTTAAGCTGAAAGTGTCTGCTAACTATGACATTTATTGTTTTGACAGCTCACTGGGCAGAAGCCTTCAGCCACAAAATGGTGGATAAGAGGGGCTTCATGATTTCAGGAACACGCACGGTGTCTGTGCAAATGATGCATCGTACAGGTACAAAATTCACTTTCTAACCAGTATGTATTCTCAGAAATGTATATTGAAATTTTTTTGAATCGTTTATTTTCCCAAAAGATTTTACAGATATTTAGAAGATGAGCCCAATCAGCTACAATTTCTGGAAATCCCATTGGGCAAGATGCAAAGCAGCCTTTTGATCCTTATGCCATTCCACATGGAGCCCCTGGAAAAGGTGCTGACCAAGGAGAACATTTACAGGTGGTCGGACCAGCTAAAAGAACAAGCTGTGGCTGTGTCCCTGCCTGAAGCTGATGTGGGGAGCATTCATGAACTACAGGTAAATAAGCACAAGATGTCGGATTAGTTGAGATAAGTAACCAATTGCCAGTATTCCGCATTTTCAGGTGATTGTCAATTCTAGCATTTCTGATTTTGAATATAATTGATTTTATAAATTGCATTAGACATAAGCAAGCAATTATTATGAAATGCTGTCCTTGCAGAAATACCTGAAACAACTTGGATTAGTGGAGGCTGTGGACAAATCTAAAGCAGATTTCTCAGGAATAACAGGAAAACCCGACTTGCCCCTTTCACATTTCCTTCATGCCGCTGGTTGTGAGATACAAACCGGAGGCAATGAATTTGATGAGAATATATTTGGTCGAGAAGAGCTTAAAACACCAAAACTTTTTTATGCAGACCATCCCTTCATTTTCTTTGTGCAAGACACGAAAACCAACTCGATTCTTTTCTTGGGTAGACTTCTAAACCCCCGAAATGGTGGAAATCATGATGAATTATGAAATAGCAAACCATTTTGAATCATAAACCCACAAGAAACCAAGCGAACAGTAACATGACCAAACAGGTCAATAATGTTAAGAATGCTGCAAACAGCCAGACATACAGGATGTGCAGCCCCCCCCCCCCCCCACCGAACATGCAGGAAGTGCTGCTCCAGCCTTTGGCTACATTTTCTCAAAATCGTTGTAAAATTAAGCTGCAATATAGCAATCATTTTACAAGGAGATGGTGAGTATTTATATTTGTAAATGCAATCTTCAGCAGATTAAAATTGTTTTTTAATTTTTGGTTTGCGTGTTGTTTTTCAGGTAAATTTTGGTGATGCAGCACATTAATAAACAAAAGTTCATACTGTCGTTATGCAAACCAAGCTACCACACAATATGTATCGTGAAGGTACTGCAAATGTGGTCTTTAAAAATTACTGCTACACAGTTTTCAAAAATCACGCTTAACCAAATTTATGGCTTTGCTTAAATTTTAAACCAAAAATAAGTAACACTGTTACCCTTTTATTCCAAGAAACAATGTAAATACAAATGACCAAAATATGTAACAGGAAAAAAGTCATTAGCATATTTCAGCAAAAGGAAACAATCCACATACAAAATTATACTTCATACAGGAATTAGAACCCAGATTGCAGATTTCAGTTTTATCACATAAGAAAAGCTTTTCTGGCTGAAAACCTTCCGCAAAGCATTCACATAAGTAATGTTAACAATTTACTGGACATATATATATTTTTTATTGTAGTTCACCATGTTTTTTCACTGAATTATTTACTTATTGGTAATGAACAAAACCAGGCATTCATAACAGTTGGTGAGGTTTCAAATATTCAAAGGTGTATTTGTATAATCGTTTAATTTTATTTTCCGTTTTAATTGGACAGGCTCAGACTTTCATGACTCCACTGAAAGCATGAAATTCGAATCGGTCTTTCCTTCAAGGACAGTGTGAAAATAACCACTCCTAATACGCAACTTAAGCTACTCTGATGAATAGCTATATAAAAACAGATTTCAAAAAATAACTAGATCACGTAGTGGTATTGTTACAATTTCGACCATTGTTGCAAGTGCGTATGCAGATAAATAGATTTTTATTTCTCTCTAATGAATAATACTTCTATCTTCTGGCATACCAATAAAGTTGTTTTTATGTGGCACTGCAAAATTTCGGTTTCAAGAACAACTCACAAATGGTGGTGCTACTTCAACACAAGAACAATAAATATCACTAGACTATCATTCCCATGGACATGCAAATAAAAGTATTTACCAAATGTGTTTATGTTTTAGCCCCAGAAAAGCAAATGGGAAATTCTAAACACCTGGCCAATGATCAGATTCCGTTAAAAGGTAACTGTAGTTTGAGCAGCCACAATTATACGAACTGAAGGTTTGGCAGTACCTTCCATTCTGGCTGCTTGCCCACCTCATCATGGGCAAATATAATTTTCCCAATTAAGTATTTAAAATAGTTTATTAATTGGTTCAACAAACCACTTATAGCTTGCCGCTGCAGATTTTGGCTGTAGCTGAATCAGCCCATGTTTTTGCGATTCCCGTATCCTCTACGATGCGTGTCTTTCCAATTGTCCCAGTCCCGAGCCTTCTGCAAGGCCTCTTCATCATCATTCTCTATCTGTCGTTCTTTCTCCTCCTTCTCTCGCTCTTCACTGTCAATATCAGCTTTGAGAAAGGCTTGCAGAATTAGTTTTCATCTTAATTAACACAAAGTCATGTACAAATAACTAGGAGGTAGACCGAAAGTACCTGCACTGCGTGGAATGCCCTGATCAGGAAGAGCTCCACGTTTCCTGTGCTGTTCATACCAGTCATCGACGGTCATCGTGGGTAGGCTGGGATAGCCTGCACCGAAGACTCTGAAAATATTTTTAGTTCAAACTTTAAAATACAGTATTATTTAATCTCTACATTTAGCACCGATACATTTGTGTATTTGCCTACCGAGCTTGAACAGCATCTTTAGTCAGGATGAAGGGTTTCATGCGAGGTCTCTGATGGGACTGTAATGGTTCTGCTGTGCCCTAGAAGGGGTAAGACGTCATAATTTAATTACATGTAGTTTAACTCCATGGGAACATGTATGCATATAAAATCACTGTCATCATACCATTCCTTGTGGAACTTTTTCTTGTTTCAGAAAATCCATTTGCTTCAGAATCTCAATTTCCTGGTCAATGCTTTCAATTTCCTCCAATGCAATGGTTATCCACTTCCGTAGATTGAGAATGTAAAAGTCGCGAACCATTTCATCATCAGCGTGACCGCTCTCCACTGCAGACTTGATCTCTGACAATTTGGCTTCTGTTTCTTTCTTTTGTTTATATCTAGGGGAGGTTATAATAACACAAAAGTTATGATGACATATATATATATATATATAACGAGGTAATCATCATGCACCAGGAGTCATCCTTCAATGCCACAGCTTTAGGAAAGAATCAATCATTATATCAAAATTGTATGATTTTAATTTAAAAATTCATAAATTTAAAGACAATTGCTATCGCATTTCCTTTGTAAATTTAGCAATTCACATTTTTTATATTTTGATAAATTAATTAGGTCTTAGTTGCTACTGCATCATCACAATGCTGTTATGACTATGTTGGCTTGTATGTACTTGATCCCTTAAGTACAATATTCAAAACGTGAAGATGTGAATCATAAAAACCTTTCGATTTTAGCCTGTCTCTGTGTTGCCATGGCAATCAAATTCGGAGGCTGTATTGTAGGTGCCGATATCGGTCCTTTTCCCTCTTCTTCCAATGAGTCTGCAGAATTATCGTTTGTTTTGGGTAGTTCAAACTTCACGATATTGTAGTCTTTGCACCTTCTCAAGAAATCTAAAAAGTAAACCTTTGCTTTCTGCACTTGCTCCAGGCGTTTCGCTAGGTTGACTTGTTTCATTGTAAGGGCCCCGAGAAGAGCAGGTAACATCAAATACTTGAGATCTGTGGTTGCAATTTCCTCCAGTTCTTCATTTCGACTGGAAAAAAAAGGAAAATAATGAAATGCTTACGCAGTGAACGTTAAGATTATAGTATTAGACATGCTATTTATTTTAAGTCACCAATTTGAAAACTGTTACCTTCACTGTCACCAATGCTAATATACTTCTCCCACATATGTGCAGCCCATATAACCAGTTAAATGTACTTGTCAAAACCCACATGCACTCAGCGTCCCGAAGTGCCCCTAAGTGAAATAAATTGTAGAGTGAAAACTAAGCTGAAACGTCTAAAATGACGAAAGTCTGCAAAAGTTACCTGAATAAGTCGAGTTGGGCTACCATGCGTGTTACCTCTTCCAACAGCTGAATCCCACGCTTAACTTTAACCTGGACCGAGTTTGATCCGGTCGGCTGGTTGGTGGTGTCCACTTCTTCAAATAATTTCCACCCGCGATCCAGCATTTCAGGAACTTTCTGTGATTCCAAGTCCGTATTTTGAATTTCACTACACTCTTCCGCAGCAGCCATTTTCATGCGTCAAATTCTTAACACACAGACTGTCCGACTTCGGCTTCCGTACCTTCCGGATACAATTTTGCTGTTGTTGTTGCTACCTGATCAACAGTACGCATGTGCACCATTATTGCGCATGCGTAAATTGCATCATATTTTACGACGCTGCTCGATTTGCAACTCTCGTATGTATTATTTCACGACTTTATGTCAGTTTCATGTTCTTTGCGGATCAGGTGGAGCTGGAGTTTCAGTATAGTGAGGTCATTCATACTATGTTTCGCCATTGTTTTCAAAATACGTGAAGGTTTTATTAGTTTAATTTAGTTAACCAATGGCACGGTGTGTTACGTTAAAACTCAGCGCCGAAATATATGTCAGAGGAGGACAATAGGTTTCCCATAATGGAAGACCACGATAAGATTAAACTTTTGATCCCAGGATGGAAATTTTATAGGAAATTCTAGCAAGGTACGTAGAGCACAGACTAGCATGCATTTAGTAGCAAACGGACAAGGTGCAAAGACACTGTACACAGTGCAGTGAAGTTAACGCATCACAAACAAAGTAAAAGTAAAATGTTATACAGTATTAATGAAGATGATAGATACATCTTATGATTGCGCGGGGACGCATCATCAGTGATGGGACCTGGGCTTATCGGGGGTTTGGGGTCTTTCAGCGTCAGAGCAGCATTCACCCACGCGTCTGCCCTCTTAGGCAGATAAATATTAAGAAAAAAATAAAATAGTAATAATTTAGCGAATAGTAATGTGCAGTGAAATTGTTTTGATTTGTAAGATGCTGAATAATATTAGACTAATTGTGGAATTAATTGTTTTATATTGCTCAGTAATATTAGATTAATTGTGGAATTATTTGATTCATAGTCATACGCAATTCCTGCACAATTCAGTTGGGGCTTCTTATTTTTTTCTTATTATATTTATGTATCAAGTAACATTTCTGTATGAATTCTGAGGCAGTAACAGTATTTTTTTCTTGGGTACCAGCATTAACAAAACCATGTCATTGTTCCATGTTACAAAATGTTGGTTTATGTTTCTGACACTTGAGTTTTCTGCATTCAACTTAGAATATGAATGTAGATGTGTCAAATGCAAGTTTTTTGTTTGAGACTAAATTTTGGTTTTATTTACTTATAAATAAAATGATTAGTAAAGTTCATATAAAGTCATTTTTGAATTAGTGTAATGTTTCATATTACAGCCTTTTAAATCTGTCCTTAAAGCAGCATGTTCAAACCTATTGTCAAGTTCTACAGATGTTTCCTTATGGAATCTAGAGATGTGTGTTTTACCCTTCGATGCCAGTCTTCCTTCCTGATTTTTTTCAATAGCTAGAAACACTCCTGATGAGTATAATCGTTACAGTGCTTAATGTAGCACACAAATACAAATCTGAAATATTCTTCTCTCATTGTCAAACAGGCACCAAAGAACGAAGTGTAGAAGATTGCTCCACAGCTGAAGAAGGCTTAGTCAATGAAAGAGATCTTCTAGAGGACCACCTCAGAAATATGTTTGAGGGGCTTGTCCACATTGCTACATTCATTTAAAAATTCAGACATAAGTTTCCATTGTCAGCTTTTGTCCATTCTACCTTTAAGTTTTCAGCCCCCAAAATCGGAGCCCCCTTCAGAGCCATATACTTCTGAAAACTATGTTTTAGCTTTGCAGTGTGGATGAATGACTTTTGAAAAGCACAGACTCTAAAAGCACCCTAATTGGTCCGTACTTATCACATGGCCCTTCCTTGATTTGATCCCACGAGTTACACCCTGATTGGTTACCTGGTTACCCTACACAGAAGTATACAGTATTCCAACATGGCAGATATGGAGGAGCTGCTTCCAGTGGCACTTTCCCTGTTATTGACCTGTATACAGCTAAATAGCATGTTACACATTGTGAGTGCTGCATATTTGCGCAAAAAGAAACTAATTTACCGATCACTGTTGTTCAGCAAAGAAACTCGTTACCGGCAGCGTCACAATCCCTTCAAGGAGCGCCAGTTTTGGGTAAAACCAGGACGGAGCAGTGCTTGGTGGGACAATTTTGTAAATGAATCTGTGGTTCCTGAAGAATGGCAAGAAAATTTTAGAATGTCTCGAACAGCTTTGCTCATTCTCAGTGAAAAACTGCGTCCTAATATCGAAGGAAAGAAAACGCAAATGAGATCGCCTGTGGACGTAGTCAAAAAGGTCGCTTGTACCCTGTACTATTTGGCTGATGAAGGACAGCTCCGGGAAACTGCCAACGCATTTGGGTTGTCTCGGCAAGTTGTTTCGAAAATTGTTAGACAGGTCTGCAAGGCAATTACCCTTTCCTTGGGTCCTGATTACATCAAAACACCGAGAACGGAGGCAGAAGTTAAGGATGCTGCTGCCAACTTTTACAGATGTCATGGAATGCCACAGTGCTTAGGAGCAATAGACTGCACACACATTGAAATCAAACAACCGTCGGCCAAATCCACAGACTACATGAACCAAAAGGGTAGGCATTCATTGAATGTGCAAGCACTGTGTGATTACAAGTACTGTTTCATGGACGTCGTTGTGAAATGGCCCGGTAGTGTTCAAGACGCTCGAATATTTTTGAATTCAAAATTAAGTGAAGATTTAAAGGATGGAAGCATTCCCTCTTGCTCAACAGAACTGGTGGAGGGTGAAGAGGCTGTTCCCATTTTTCTTTTGGGTGATGCAGCATATCCCCTGTTTCCATACCTCATGAAAGACTACCCAAATGGCGGTGCTACCCCACAGGAGCAATCTTTTGGTCAGTCCCTTTGTGGGGCTCGCATGGTGATTGAATGTGCGTTTGGGCATTTGAAGGCACGGTTTTCAGTACTGAGGAGACCGATGGATATAAATATGCAGGACCTTCCATTCGTTATTTATGCTTGTTTTGTTTTGCACAACTACTGTGAAACTCAAAAAGAAATGATACCTGAACAAGACATAAGTGCAGCTATTAAATATGACAGACATATCCAGCCACCCACTAAGTGGGATAATATTAGGAAGGACTGCCATGAAACTGAGGGGAAGAGAGTGAGACGTGTGTTAACCACATTTCTTAACCCATGATGTTTCACATCTAAACCACTGTCTGCTTTTGCTGTAATTTTTGCCGAAATAAATAGTTCTATTCACTATACATTTATTGTAATATGTTTGACACTTATCTGAAATGAAACTGAGGGAGAAGAGTGAAACATCATAAATGAATTGTGCCTGAGTAGGTGATATTTACTTATCCTTTTTCATCAATGTACCCATGCCCAATGTAGGTTAATAGCTATATCAGATACGTTTTATTCATTTCAATGTGGATGGAAATATGTAAAATGAAGAGAAAACGCTTGTGTGGATGGAGATCGTTTTCATTTGAAAATGTTTTTATAATAATAATAATCCTTCATTTACCATTTACACAAGTACATTGGGAAGGTGAAGAGAAGGATTCCAATCTTGCTCTCCATAGCTTGGGTGGTCACAGTACAAGATCAGCCAACATGTGGTGCCCCTGCAGATGTGGGGGGGGAGGGGGGCAGTAGGGGCCTGGCTGAAGGGCCCACATAAGTGTTACTGTTCTGCTGAGGCTAGGGCTTGAACTGGCAACCTTCTGATCATGGGCACATAAGCTTAGCCTAATGAGGCACTTACCCCCCCAATTTTAAATAAAATGTAGCAGTGTAGGCATAACTTAGAGAAGATAAATCATTCCAGGCATCCATGTTCCCCTTTCGTGCTGTATGAGAAGATTAATTACTATAGACAATAGCCTAGGGAAATTCAGTCCCTCCCTGTCCCTGACTTATTTTCTCCTTTTACTTCACTTGCTCCAAGTCAGACACTGACTTAAGCATGTCAAACCGAAGAAAATTAGCCTAGGTATCTAGGCTAGACCGTTTTTAACAAGTGCATTTGTACGGTGTACACGCGTGTTTTTAAGGTGTGTTTTTTTAACCGTGTTCAGAAGGTAAAAATGCCGCAACACGGAGACGTACGGAGACTAAAAATGGCGCGCAGACACAGTATCCGGTCTCGCGGCATCGCACGCATTCACCCTGACGCGCGCTTGACGAGTAGCTTTTTAGATTTGGCGCTAACGTATGATCTGCTCGGTTGAAGTTCCGTTTGCATTAGCCTACAGAATACTCACTTAATTTGAACTATAAGAAGTATACTGTTAAATAACAGGGTAAAGGGATATACAGTGAAATGTCGATAGAAGGGTATCCAGTCACTAAAGTGTGTCTTATTTACAAAATTATGGTTTTGGAAAATGTCCGTTATAGATTGGAGGAAGAGCTCCGGATTTTCACGAAAAAGGTAGGTTAAAGTTCCACATGAAAAGATGCAAGTTAAAAAGTTAGGGTTAGAGTCTTACGGGTTTTGGGGGGCTATTGATTAGCACTACGGTAGCCTTACTCGACAAAGTAGTTCAACTCGTTTCAGATCAGCGACCAATCGGTCATTTAGAGACAGGCATGCATTCTACGGCAGGGATGCCTGTTTCGGCATAACACCGGCGTTAGCATGTCTGTGAGCGCGAGGCGGTTTGCAGTTCGACTCTGTTTATCCGTGTAAGTTAAACTTTTAGAAGCCTGTTTGTGTTTGTTCGCATCCCCTGACTCCGGATTTAAGCTATAGGCCATGTTCGGGCAAGTTCTTCGGTTAATAAAGGGTTTATTGTTGTCTACAAATTTGTCGTTGCTCGGTCGCCAATGGAGTGTTTTTAAAAATGAGTCATACTTTCAACAATATACTTGTAGTGTGAATTTTCCTGCTTTTTCTGTTGATGGTTTTAAGCTAAATTTTCGTTACAGGCAAGTGAAGATGTACAGAGTTTCTTGAGATCCGCCAAAGAAAGCTCTAGGATGAATGGAGTTAAGCTTCTGAATGAATTGGATGTGAAATGTACCGTCATTGAGAGGCTTACTGGGTTATTTCGTCAACTGATTGCCGGTAAAGTGCGAAATTATATCGGAGAAATGTATAACATATCGTAGCACAAATTATCAAAAGAAACTAAAAATTACTTCTGGATTTGGCACTGACTGGAAAAATTGTTGAATAGCCAACCTTCAATCGTCGAGTGGTAATTGACAGCCATAACTGAAGTTTAGTTTGCCATGAATAATTAAGTCGTGTTTTTGTTACACTTTGCAGAGCCAGAAGATCGTTCACTGATCGCTAATCAGCCGAATAATCATCTGCATGGGCCAGTACTGAAATGGGGCAGAAATGTAATGATTTCCAGCATTTTGAAGTTTGGACCAATGCTCCACAATGTTGTATTGGCCACCTCTATTACTAATGCAGTACAGACTCTTGGAGCTGCTCTCACCATACAGCAAATTCAGACAGTCTTTACCTCTTTAATGTCGCAAGCACAAGTGCAGATACCTAATGCACTTCAGTACAATCAGACAAAGGACAATAAGCCTTCAAGTGATAACTGTCAGGATCAGTCACGTTCAAGAATTCCAGTGAGACATCACAGCCGTGGTGTTACTTTGGGAACTCCAGCAACACAATCAACAGGAAAACAATTTGAAAAGCCCCTTCATGGTGTGACCTCATGTTTACAGAATCAGGAGCTGGGAACTGATGTTACCATACAACATCAGAAGCAGACCTCATCACAATTGATACAGTTCTTGCAAACCAAATGTAGAAGCGATTTGTTGACCTGTTTTCCAGGAAGGGTTGAGCCGAGTGTTGACAGTGCCACACATGACGACATGTCTCCTTCGATAATAGAAGGGACTCCATCTGAAGTGAAAGGCAAGCCTGTCTATGATAATCTGTACCAAGGAACAAATGGCTTGCTAATTGCTACTTCTGCCCCAGTATTCGAGGTGCAGGAAGACTTTGTTGATGGTGCATTGAGGTGCACTTATATTGTTTCCACAAAGTATGAATTGTGGGATATTGGTGATATATTCATAGATGAAAACCTTATTTCGTCAAGGCGTTCTCAGCAAGTAGATGTGTTGGGCTCAACTTCAGGGGCCTGTACAGAAACCAAAGAGGAAGCTTCCAGTGTTCAAAGGCATATCACTAGTGGAGTTGGGGCTTTAGGCCCAATGGGGCAAGATGACAATCTGGCAATATCTAAGGTTGGAAAAAAGGTCCCAGTGTTCCAGGTTCGAAAGTATGAGGAAATGGCGGTTACAGTGACCCATGTTGTTAGCCCTAGTAACTTTTTCATCCAGCTTGTGGGCCCACAACTGCAACAGCTCTCCCTAGCTATTGAGTAAGTGTTTGTTTTTTGAAAATGTGTCATTAATAAACATGAAGTATTATAGTATTAAGGTAACAAAATTGTTGTTTAGAATATAATTAGAACTTTATAGAACTTGATTACGTTTTCACACAAAAATGTATGCTATTTTTTTCCCCCAAGTACCCACATTCTGCGGGTTTTCCAGGTCTATTTTAATTACTGGAAGCTGGCAGAGTGCTCGGAATAAATAATCAACTAGAATTCTGTTTACTTGGTGATCCAATTAAGGATATCAGATTTTAGGTACATATCCTGGACCTTTTCACTTTTCCTTGAGCAAACTGCTTAATCAGTTGTGCTTTAGTCGAATATTCAGATATCATTTGTACATTGCTCTGAAACATGTTAACCATGCTTTGAGCTCATTACTGGCTGTAAGTGCTACAGCTCTCATTATATGTTTGTATTTTGGTTGTTTGCCTGGCAGTTTGCACTGCAGTCGCTCTTTTTCTGAGATGGATTGTATTCCGGATATTGGAACCTATGTTCTGGGATGGTTTCCAAGGCAGAAGATGTGGTGCCGTGGTCAGGTGATTAAGATAAATGGCATGAGAGGAGGTAAGCTTTTAGCCTCATTATTCAATTATTGTTTTAAATACTTTGAAAGCCATTTTGTAAGCTATCGCCCTTTTTACGTGGTCCTCCCTATTCTTAGCTGAAAATTGTCATCGCTTTCAGGAGCTTCAGTGAATCTGGCGAAGGCAGGTGGTGTGCAAAATATCAACCTGGAGGTCAGAAGGATTGACTATGGCGACGTAGCTTGTATCCCTTTGCAGAATATAAAAGAACTTGATGATTTGGCAGCTACTTTACCTGAACAAGCCCTGCAGGTTGCTTTGGCAAATGTAAGGGAATAGTTATTTTTGAAATATATATTCCATACTTGATTGAGTTTTGTTCTTATTTGCCACTATTTATATTTTTTAGTCTAATATTTTACTCTTATTTTACTAATGTATATTCTGTGTTGTCGTTTAATATATGCACCAATACTGCCAAGGCAAATTCAGGTGTACCTGGCCAATAAAGTAAATTATGATTCTGATCTGTCTTGTATGTGGGATTGTTTTTTTATTTCAACAAGGTTCTGATTATGAATACAGGTTTCTCCAGTTAAGGGTCAAGACTGGACTACAGAGGCAGTGTGCTGGTTTAAAGACAAAGTACATAATAGGACCCTGTTTGCAAGGCTGTTTCCTCAGGAGCCGAAAGTGATGGTGGAGCTCTTCTTGGAGAAGGGAAAGATTGGAGGCATGAGGTTTGTTTGCTTGGGAATTTATTTTATTGCAAAATGTATATTTTTGCAGTAAAATGCCGAATGATATTTCTGTTTGGGAAGTTTTCAGAATCTTTGGAATAAAAATAGGGATTATCATTAATAAGAATTTGTTGACATAAAATATTCATATATCTAATATAGACCAAAAATAAGAGAACAAATACTATTAAAGGGGGTATATGTTTATCCATGATATTTCTAAGATAATGTGTTCCATTTATAGTTCACATTTATCCAAAAATTAATGTATAAATTAGTGAGGGTTAACGCTGTACAAGCTATTCATGTTGTGTATGTACATTTTTAAACGTATGGCTGTAGAGGCAAAGAATGACCTTTAAGGATGCTTAGTGGAGGGCAGATGCCTCTGTGGATTGTGTTTAAAAAAACGTATAATGCATGACTTGAAATACATTAATTCATTAGCAGTCATTAATTCATCCATACCCACTTCATTTTAATAACTTTTTTTCAGGAGAAGCGCTTCTCTGTCGACAAGATTGGCCCTATGTGGACATGCCAATCATTCAATAATAAGCCTAAACTTGAGGAAAAGTAAGTATTTTCCATTCATCCATCCATCTTCCAATCATTTACCCTTGCCAGTGTTGCTGGGAGACCTGGCAGTTTGCCCTGGCACTGTGCCAGGCATGTGGGCCTTCAGGCTGGGCTGCACTGTGGATAGGCTGCCAGTTTGTTTTATGTTTTGTTGTTTTTCGTCACTTTGCACTTTTTTTTTTTTTACACAGTGATTTTCATTTTATGGCATGACAATATTCACTGTAGAATCGTAGAGTGAAGATTATTTTATCTCCTTGATCTTATAACTGTTTTGCTTGATAGGACATTCAAATTAACCGTTTTGCTGTTCCAAGAAAATGTGAGAAGGTCTTTAAGAATTGAATGGGCACCACTGATGGTTCACACTGTGTGTGTGCCCTGCAGTGAGCTGGCATTCTGTGCAGTGCGTCCCCCAGGCCTCCGGTCTGTACTGACTGGCACAGGCTACAGCATCTCACTGTAGCACTGCATGTGTGGGATATGTGCTTAAAGCTGTTTCAGACAGTCAGCAGCACCTACACTGTGTCTGTGCTCTGCAGTGAGCTGGCATCCTGTTCAGTGTTTCTGAATCATGACTCCTTGTATTTAGCTTGCATGTAGTATCCATTTTGCATGTTTCCTCTGTGTATCTGTTGTCTTCTGTACTGTAGGCTAATTGGCATCTCTAAATTGCCCATAATTTATGATTTTGTGTGTGCGTGTGAAGACATTTCCTACAATATGATTAAAAACCTTTAACTTTTAAAACCCTGGGGACATTTTTTTTTTGGTCACCAAAAGGATAACTTCAGTTTTATAAAGGGCAATCAAAATGCAGAAAATGCCAGTGTGAATGTAATCAAAAACTTGAAAATGCCAGAAGTCTTGTGTTTTGTTTGGTTACTTATAGTTAATATTCAGGCTGGGTTAGGGTTATGGTTGTCATGGATGGGATTAGGGTTATGCCTATAGAAATGAATGCAGAGTCCCCACAATGATAGGAATATATGAACTGTGCACGTATGTGTATATGCTTGCGTGTGTACACACATGTGTACGTGTGTGTGCATGCATGCGTGTATGTACGTGTGTGTGTTTGTATATGTGTGTACGCGTCCTGTGATGGACTGGTATCCCATCCAGGGTGCACCATGGCTTCATGCCCCAGTGTGACTCTGACCATGATAAGTGGTCAGAAGATGGATGGATAGTTCTGCAACAGCTAAATAAAATAAAACAAGCAAAAAAAAATGGACATAACTTTGATTTGCAGGTTAAAGGCCCTGGTTATAATGGGTGGATAGATAGCTGCAGTTAATGAGGATAAGCCAAGTGATCTGTAAATAGTAATATGCTGTGTTGTATGACTCTTATCACTGTTACAGGCCTCAATGATGGACGAGACAAGAATGTCCAGAGTGAAGTTGCCTAGGTTCTCAATCGGAGATCAAGGTTGTAAAATACAGCAACACTGAGATGAGTGTGACAGAGATCCAGGTACAGGGAAAAAAAATTCTTATGTAAGGCAGCAACGTACCGTAAATCTTTTTTTTTTGTATGCACTCTGCAGTATAGTTCAGGTCGTGCTGAGCTGCTGCTCAATCAGTATGTTTTTCCTTCTTTCTAAGTTAACTGATTGATTTTGTGCTGTTTGCTGATTCAAATAAGATAAAAATGAATATATAAATGCATGTTTAAAGTTAATCCAGACTTCTTGTTGAGGAATGCATGTCATTTTGTAAAGATTAATAAAGATCCTTACATAAATGTTGGTCCATAAAGTCAGTTTTAAATAAACATTTGCTGTTTGTAATGCCTGAACATTTAATTTATGAGGGTACTTTTGCCATGTTCAGATTCTGATATATGAAGTAGGGTTGCACCAATCCAATATCCTATTAGGTAATCCATTCAAGCGGAACACTAATGATGCCGCGCAGTGACTCCCGCCTAGTCCTTATCTAACTGAAGAGTTCCTCAGGATGATAAATTCTGAAATTTGTCTTTAAATTACTTACTACGTAGCTCAAAATTGCAGAACACTACACAATATAACTAAATATCCTAAGTTTCACTCTTGAAAGAGAATGTTTTTTAGCGAAATGTGGAGTGATTAAAGTGTCGCTATGGAATATGTTCAGTAGATACAACCTTTAAAATAGGGGTTCTCGATGTTTTAATGACTGGATCAGCACATGTGAAATATTTTGTGGACTGGAGGGTTACACTTGGGGGGGGGGGTCCTTATGAATTTTTTGTATGGAGTCTACAAAGTGTCCATCCAACCAGAAGATAACCAAGCACACAACCCTGCAGCAGCTAACATTGGGAGTAGAATGGGTCTGACACAGGGGTCCAGTGATGTGGCCAGGTGTCACCAGGGCTTTAGGATGCCCCCCCCCCCCAAAACAAATTCCACCACAGTGCACAACAAAATGTGTCCTCTGCATGTAACCTATATGTGACAGAGCAGGGGGAAGCTAATTCAGCACCCAGGGAGCAGTACCTTACTGAGTGGTGCCTTGCTGGTCAGGGACTCGAACCTGCAATCTTTCAGTTACAAGGGTGCTTCCCTAACCATTAAGCCACCACTGCCCACACTTTAAATGGTCTGTTCTCTTTTGTTTTCATTAAAGTCAGGACCACCCCCCCCCCGTTTCATAAATCTCCAGTGACACTCCTGGGAAGTGACCTTTCCAGCAAATCATTCTGTTCAATTTCTGGCCCAACGGAGCAAATCAAGATGTCTGCCCCAGTGGAGTGAAATGAAAATGTCAATGCAGTTGATGGAAGCAGGATCTCTCTCTGTATTTCTTTGTTGCACAAAATAGCATGTAAATATGACAAAATCATAATGCGTGTAGAATGGAAGATCACAGCAGTATAGATTTGTAGCTGTTTCTGTACAAAACAGTTCTTTGTTTGGAAAAGGGACAGATTCCCTGCAGCTAAATTGCCCCAAAACTGCCTTGCTTGCTAAAAAATGCTGCCGTTTTGACGTTATTTCCTTGTTTCGTCTTATTTCTATAGTGAACTGCAGTGAGCTCTGTCATTTTTCCATTTCTGGGTCTCTTCCGTTTTAGCGTTCTGTTCTCCTGGGTTAGAGGAAATGTTATATGGTTGCTGGGAACTCCATTAGCCCCGGACAGCTGGACCGAATGCAGTTTGGACACCTTCATCGTAACTCAGGTTTGAGACACTCGGGTGCATAGGTTCCTTATGCTTATTTATGTAATACTGTTAACATAAAATATATCAATGTGTATTACAGTTTTATATAACTGCTCACAAGCATTTTTCCATACCTAGTTCTCTTTTGCAAAACATTTCATACAGAACTACAACTGTACATGCAACTGTTAACTCATTTCTTGTCCAAAACTCACCAGCCAAAAGCCTCCAAATGTATCAAAATTATTCTATCCAAGCCCAAGAGCTAGAGTTCTTCTAGTAACGCACCCATTTTCCTTCAGAACACCATTGCCTAAAAATATTAATGTACATTTTTATTTAATTTTGATCTCAAAGGTACAGTAGGGCACTGATGTTTCATATAACTGCATCTACATCACACCGTGTTTTGGCATGGAAATGGTGAAATGCTGTAACTGCCTCATATAATCACACGTTTGCACGTTTGGCCACACCTTGGTCTTCCGTGGAGGTCATCCAAGACAGGAGATAATTGAAGTGATAGAACAAAAACAATTGTGTATTAGCAGTGCTCTAGAGGATCGCTTTGCTGTATTGCAGCAGAAACTGGTAGAATGTGAAGTATATCTTGCATGTCAGTTATCTTGTAGTTCTGGGTAAACCCACACGCCAGCCTGTCTCTCTAACAGCCCATGACTTAAAACATGGCTGGTTATAGTTGCAGTAATTTCACCTGAGATATTACACTCCCTTCATGCTGAGAGGCACCATGTCTCAGTTCTCCTCCTCTTTTCCTTCCTCTTCCTCCTGCTGGAACAAAATTGTTCTGAATTTGTCATTTTTTAATACATAATAACCTGACAGTCTCTGTGTTACAATGACGTGAGAGTGCTTTGTGTTTGGTGCAGCATGGTGATGCAGTGGCTGGCATGGTTACATTGTATCTCTGATGATCAGGGTTCAAGGCTCCGTGTGATTGGAGTTTGCATGTTCTCTGTCTTGCCCTGGGAGTTCCCCATATAGTCCAAAACATACTAAGGTTCTGAATGGTACAGTATGTGAGTGTGCCCTGTGGTGGGGTGGTGCCCCCTCCTGGGTTGTTCTCTCTGCAGAGACGGTAACCATTTCTCTGTTAGGCCCTTCAGTAAGGAACTTAACCTCAGGTACTACAGGGACACAGTGTGTCTCTGATCCCTGGTTGTTGCTTGTACATCATTTTGGACGAAACATCTGCTAAATAAATATTAGCATATGTTGGAATTTGCTGTCCGCCTGAATGATACTGGCCATTCTAAGCTGTGACGGTTTATTTATTTCAAGCAGAGCACTGTGGTAACAACGCAGTGCACATAAACTGTAACCCCTCCCTCTGCCGTAAGTGATTTTGGACAAAGGCTTTAGATAGATGACTCAAGTATAAAAAGTTTACTTGTAGAAAAATATACTTTTGCATCTGATTCAGCTCAGCTAAAGATAAGGTGAAAGCTTTTAGTAAGGCTTAGTCACTGAATGCATTTTGTGTCAAAATGCTAGAGAAGATGCTGTCTACAGAGAGTGCTGGTATGCGAAGAGTCTGAAAAATTTGGGGGGGAAAACTTCATACTAAAAAAAAACTTTTGTTAGATTTTTTTGAATGAGCTGTATTTCATCGGAAGAGTTCGTAGTAGGCTTTTATTCAACATACCATTTGAGGTTACCTCAGCTGCCTTATTTAGGAATTATGTTCCCATTTAGAAAATGAAGTTTTAGATATTAAATATGAATGAACTATTTAAAAAAAAATGACTGATATCCCATCCGGGGTATTCCCATCCTGAGTACTCTGTGCTGCCTGGGACAGACTCCAGGCCTCCTGACAGACGGATGTAAATCATAACTGACATTCTACTGGGGGTGGTCCCTGGCACATTGCTATGAATGGACTCCTGTGACCCTCTGCTGGGAAAGCGGTCAGGGAAGATGCTGCTCATAGGTAGGGTGGGGCTGCAAGTAGTGCAGCTTTATGATCTGACTCATAGCAAAATCATTGTCTTTTTAAGCAGAAATATTAATGATCGTTCACAAGCCATTTGCTTATGGCTTGAAAAATCCAACATTTTGTTCTTTTTATTATTATTATTATTGTTGTTGTTGTTGTTGCAAATTGCTATTCAACAACCATTGCACTGAAAATGCAAACAGCAGCATTTTCTATACTGTGGTAAATAGCAATTTTGTCCCTCAACTTGATAAAAGTAGAAAGATGAGTGGATATAATATTCTGTATAAATGGGGCTTGTTTTCTTTGGTCATGTTAACTCATCGTTAACATTTCTGAGGGATTTGCTAAATACCTGGGAAGAGGGATATTATTTGCAGAGTATCATGTTTTTTCTGTCTGGTGAGGTGAAGATGTGACAATGTACCACAGTCAATCCAGCTGGTTGTTTCTGAATCAGGTGAAAACAGCTGCTAGGATTTACAAGGTTGATCAAACGATTGCATTTGTGAGTTGTGAAGAAAGGTGGCATTCCAGACATTAAGAACCCACTGGGCCCATGGTCTGACATTTTAGGGGGTTGCTTTACTAATGACTCTCTTCTCATTTGGCGTCAGACTCCAAGAAACCCCTTCACCTTACACCAATGTAACAAAAACCCTGCTCTTTCTGTTTTTTTTCCCCCCCATGTGGAATGACAAAGAATTCTTATATATGTGATATACCTCATCATAATATATGAGAATTGTCTTCACATGGCTCTTCTGAACATTTTATTTGAACAATTGAAGCACTATTAGTCCCAACTGAATCATTGCCAATTTCTCAATGTCTCCAGTTCTTTCTTTTCTTCATGAGTCTCCCCCAGATTTCATACGGTACGCATGCTAAACCCAGAGCTGCATAACCCTTTTTGGTCAGGGTGATAAAACTTTCCAAACAAAGGATCAATATGACCTCTTGCACAAGAATGTTTGTGCAGTCTACCACAACTAATCTATGAGAAAAAGAAAATGAAGGTTTAGTGTACCTTTAAAAAAGGAATGAAGCCATTGTTTCAAGGTTTCAACTTAATGCCTTCTTATGGCAAGCTGGCAGTAAAAGTTGGTGACTTGTGTAGGATTTTGGTATTCACCTCCTTTCCCTTAAACTGAGCTTAGTTTAGTCTTTGTGTTTTTATAGCAACCACTGCAGATTTAAGTGACAGAAATAGCCGTGTGTCGGAATGCCAGCAAAAACAACAAATGAAATATGACTGGCTGAGTTTTATAGATCTAAATTTGAACTAATGTGCATTTGGATTCCTCAACATTCTGACATGACAACATTTTAGAAAGTGCCATGTGGTGGGACTGAAACTCCTTGCAATCCCTTTCAGTTTGGATTTTTTATAACAGCCCCTGATAATTGATTCTAATGAAAAAACTGGTCAGTCCTTGAAATATAGTATTTTTGATGCCGTATGTGTTAAACTTTAAATCATCAGTGTTTATAGTGCAAGGCTGTTTTGTGTCATTGTTCTTGAGCCAGAACTACTTCTCTTACAATCACAAAGTAAAAGCATCATTTATTTTGGATCTGTCCAATTTTTTGCCCTTTGGGAGGTAATTAAAGGTCTAATGTTTACTCTTTTCTAAAATAGTTTACTCTATTCTATATCTATAAA